AAAAAAAAAAAAAAAAAAAAAAAAGTTCTTCCGACTGCGGATTACTATGCCTGTTTTTTTGAGACAGGGTCTCCCTCTGTTGTCCAGGCTGGAGTACAGTGACATGATCTTGGCTCACTGCAACTTCCGCCTCCGTAGTTCAAGCGATTCTCATAACTCAGCCTCTCGAGTAGCTGCGACTACAGAGGACCCTACCACGCTTGGCTAATTTTTGTATTTAGTAGAGATGGGGTTTCACCATGTTGGCCAGGCTGGTCTCAAACTCATGACCTCGGGTGATCCGCCCACCTCGGCCTCCCAAAGTGCTGGGATTACAGGAATGAGCCACTGTGCCTGGCCTATTATCCTCATTTTTTAGGGAAGGAAACTGAGGCACAGAGAGATAAAGTAGCTTTCCCAGGCTTTTGTAGCTCGGGATCCACACCCAGCCCTGCTGGCCTTAGGAACCCATATTCTTATTTATTTATTTATTTTTGAGATAGTGTTTCACTCTTGTTGCCCAGGCTGGAGTGCAATGGTGCAGTCTTGGCTCACTGCAACCTCCGCCTCCCGAGTTCAAGCGATTCTCCTGCCTCAGCCTCCCGAGTAGCTGGGATTACAGGCATGCGTCACCATGCCTGGTTAATTTTGTGTTTTTAGTGGAGATGGGGTTTCTCCATGTTGGTCAGGCTACTCTCGAACTCCCGACCTCAGGTGATCTGCCCGCCTCAGCCTCCCAAAGCGCTGGGATTATAGGTGTGAGCCACTGCGCCCAGCCAAGAACCCATATTCTTATCCCCGACTCAGCCAGGCACCATGTACGTTCTAGTCAAACACAGCTGAGCCAGCATTGGGTCAAATGAACAGGGTCCTAGGGCAGGGACCTTGAGCATCCCCATTTTACAGATGGGGAAGTTCACATTCAGAGAAAGGGAGTCAGTCGGTTGGCCAGTGCCAACCTGGGATTGGAGCCAGGGCCATCTGACACCACCTCCCAGCTGGCATGGGGCAGGGGAAGGGGCCAGGTGAGGACTCAGATGCTTAAAATACAACTTGAGTGTGCATTATAATGGGGGACAAAACCCCATGCCTTTGCCAAACATACAGACCTTGGGGACTCGTTTGTGGGCCTGGAGACAGGGCAGGCTGCTGGCATAGTTAAGACCCCAGCTTTGGTTTAACCCGACTGACTCAAATTTCTGACACTTATTATTATTATTTTTTTGTTTTTTTGAGACAGGGCCTCACTGTGTCATCCAGGCTGGTGTACAGTGGCATGATCATGGCTCAGTGAAGCCTCAAACTCCTGGGCTCAAGTGATCCTCCCACCTCAGCCTCCCGAGTAACTAGGACTACAGGCATACAACACCATGCCTGGCAAATTTTTTTATTCCTTAAGTAGAGACTGGCGTCTCATTCTGTTGACCTGGCTAGTCTTGAACTCTTGGGCTCAAGCAGTCCTCCCATCTCAGCCTCCCAAAGTACTGAGATTGCCGGTGTGAGCCACTGTGTCTGGACTTTTTTTTCTTTTTTTTTTTTTGAGACGGAGTCTCAATCTGTCTCCGAGGATGGAGTGCAGTGGCACAGTCTTGGCTTACTGCAACCCTCACCTCCCAGATTCAAGCGATTCTCCTGCCTCAGCTTCCTG